GCGAAAAATTTCAGAAACACATATCCTGACTACTGCTGTCTTCTGTCTTCAACACGTGGTCAAGTATTGCGAAGGTGTTACTGAAGCACCGCCTGACAACTACAGTCTTATTCTCTTCGACAGGGGGGAGCGGAGGTGGCCAAATATTGCTCCGCGCACATCTGTGACGTGGTGAAGGGTACGGAGGCATTCAAGGAGGGAAACTTTGGCCTGGGCCTTAAGCAGACTTTCCTCAAGATGGACGACATGCTCCGAACCCCCGCCGGACAGGTGAGGCGGTTTCGACTTTGATTTGGTTTTGAAAATTTGTTTCGGCTAAGTCTGTTCCCTCTCTGTCTCTCTCTCTCTCTCTCTCTCTCTCTCTCTCTCTACCTCTCTATCTCTCTACCTCTCTCCTTATTCCTGGCCGTACGTCTCCTTTTCCATTCCTCCCTCATGATCACTCTTTCCTAGACGCGTGGGCTAAGAGGACGATGAAGCAGTGTCGATCGATTTCCCTGTGTTGGCAGAATGGTTCACCCACCCCCCTCCTGAAACACTCAGGCGGAGCTGCTTGCGCTCAAAAAGGCATCACAGGGTGAGGACAGCGACAGCGACGATGGAGAAGACGGTGAGAACAAGAAAAATTGTGCCTCTTTGCATCTTGCCGCGAACACCCGGCTTGCTCCCCCCCCCTCCCCCAAGCGTTAGGGGAGAGGACAAGCAAGGAATGTGTGCGTTGAAACATAGCACCAAGGAGTTGATTATGCGTGGCCCCTGATCGGAAGTCTTCATTGTAGAGGCAAGCAAGGCTCTAATTTGAAGTTGAACCCGGGAGGCAACAAGAGAAACATTTCATGAATTTTTTTGGTGTGCTGTTTGCGTACATCGGGGTTTGAAGTTGGTGCTAGTGGCGTGGTAAATCGCTCCCTCGTAGGCGCTCACTGAGGAATATCGGTAGAATAGTCGCACGGAGCCCCCGCAAGTTGACGCTTACGGATCAAGCGCCCGGGAATATGTTGGCGATTGACGTACGTACAGCCTCACGTCTCACAGCGGTCGTGTGTGTTTTTTGAGAATATACACACAGTAGTGACAGATTGACTACCCGCACGAGGTGATACCACAGTAGTAGCCCAAGGGGATGTGTTTCTGCTTTTGTGGTAGCATCGAGGCAGTTTCCGCTTGTTTATTTGTTTTGGGTGTGTTCCGTTCTTCTTGTCTTCTTTTTAGGTATCCTCTTTTCTGTTTGCCTTTTTTGTTGGCGTCTTCCTTGTCATTTATTTAGGTGTCTTCGTTTTTTTTGTCTTTTGTTTGTGTGTTCTTCCAGAAGTGGTCGACATGGGCATGCTGTCGAAGATCAAACCGGAGACCCAGTTGCAGATCATGGAGCAGATGAAGAGGGCCATGAGGTGAGTGCGTAAGCGTAAGCCACCAAGATTCAGGCCCCCTTCTCCCTGCCCTGCCCGTAGGACTGTGAGGTGTCCGTGCCCTGCGACAAGCTTGGGGAACAGGCAGATTAAGAGCAAGCTGCACGCTTGTGCCCATACAACACGGATGTATATACAACAGGCCTTTTCTCTCCGGTCGCTTGGTGTAGTCGCCAGCCGCCTATACCTACGACAGCGCACAGCCGGCCTTTTTTTCTCCCTTGTTGGTTACCTTGTCGCTTTGTTGATCTGTCCGGCTAATGCCACAGCCGCCATCGATCATTGCCGCAACATCACTGCCGCATCCGACAGAGATCAGTTCCAGAGCGCGGGGGATTTGGCTGAGGGCGGCGGCGGCGGCAACGATGACTCCTCTGAACATGACGATGATTCAAAATACAGCTCGGAGGAAGAGGAGGAGGAGGAGGAGGACGGGGGGGGGGGGG